TACGCGCCACCGGTGCCGCTGGACCCCAGCCAGCGGCCTGCCTCCGCGCCGCTTGCTTCTCGACCCCCTCACCCCTCCTCGGGAAGCGCTGCCCGGCCCCGGGCGCAGGTGTCCGGTACAGCCTCGGGCGGAACGCCCGCTTTGTTTGGGCGAGGCTGGCCGGGGACGGCTCCGTTCGGGGCAGAACGCGGGCACCTGAGCCCTGTGGCCCGGCTACCCTGAAGCCCGCTCACTAAGCCACACGTGCATTTTGGAGACAGCTGCATGCCCCGCAGGCTCACAGCCCTGCCCTCCGTGGCTTCTCGGCAGTTTGACGGTAAAGCAAAGGCAGTCTTTGGCGGAAGGCACAGCCCTCGGAGCGGTAACACCTTCTCGCCACCAAGGCTCTTCCCACCAGCCTGCATCCTCTGGTCGGGATCAGATCGGCACTTGAAATTTCTGTGACTGTGCTGTGACTGTGACTTAAAAAAAAAATAAAATCACTGAAGGCAATGCTGATGATTTGAGACTTCAAAAATCTTTGCAAAAAAGAAAAAAAGCAAACACTTCTCTCCTTCACTCTAACAGGCAATACAGCTTCCACCAGTTAGCAACTAGTATTGGTTTCATCAAAATTGCGAGCGTAGACTCTCCATAACCAGACTTATCCCTTTTCTACAGAAAAAAAATGGAGTGATCTCCAACCAGAGATTAAATTTTAGTTAGCAAAAGTTAAAATGCTGCCAGCCCCCCCTTTTTTTTTCATTACATCAGCCATCTTCTAAACTTAGCTCAGACTCTTAAAAGTTAAACTGAACTAGAGCTCTTAAATATGTTCAGGTGAAATCCTGTAACATATTTACTGTCTTCCCCCTCTTCTGTACATTAAAACAGTTAATGTTATCAGTTAGTTACAGGCACAGAAGCCCTATATTCTTCCAAGCAAGTTAACAGGCATATCAGCAACTAAGTCAGTCAATAGGATCACAGTATGTACAAGCAATAAATTTGCATGATTCGGTTCCAGCCATTTCTATATTTCTGCAAACCCGCTGAAATTAATAAGATGTATGGCAATAAGTGACAGCAGGATTCTGTCCAGAGCAGGCTACAGTTCACTCTAAATTTCCATCACTTCCATACACAGCAGTACTTGTTTTCATTGTTTTGTGTTGCATAGCATGGGACAGGCTAGTAAATGGGCTCAGTAAAATTACAAACCTCAAAGGGATGAGGGTAAAGAAGGATTTTTGTTGTGGGTGCAGGTGTCTTCTCTTCACTTGCATGAACCCACACCGCTAACATGATTAGATTTTTGCCTGAATAGGAGGATTGAGTATGGCCCGAGGCAGGTAATTACCGTGGCAATGTAGAAAGGCTTTCAGCTCTGTTTTAGTGCCAGACAAATGTTTCACACTCCTGACTATGGCAGTCCATTTTGCTTGTTGCCACCATAATCTTTTAAATTACAGCATCTTTCAAAAATCTGTTGAAGTGCCTCCAAATTAAGCTTTCGCTCACGCATTAATAATTTTAACTATATGCCTTTCCAGCAGGAACACTGTATTTCTGTGCACCTTTCCTCTCTACAATTTGAGCTACATAGCAGAGAAAAAAAAAAAAAAAATCTGTTTCCACTATGGAGTGCTTCCTGGTTTGTGTTGCTAAACTGAGAAAGAAAAGTGGTTGTGTATGATTAAGAGAGGGAAGTCACATCTATCATTGAATTTGAATATAGTTGGTTTCATTCTCCCCTTAACTTTTGTCAAGGTAGTAGATAGAAATAGAGTTAATTCTTACACTGGTGGAGAGCAGAAGTGGGGCCATTTCCAATGGTGCAAGATGTCCTGCCTTCCTGCTTGGAAACAGGACCTTGCTTGTGTTGGACAGAATGTGAAAACTGCAACTAGAAGTTACTGGTTTAAAAGACAGTAAATACCAGCCTGAAATGCCAAAATCCACAGCACTGCAAAAAAGTGAGGAGAGTGCTGCCTTTCAGTTTAAAATTTCAGAACTCTACAACCTGCTTTTTACAGTTTGCTTAGAACAAGAAGATGTGTGATTTGTATTTGTGTTACCCACTGAATTAATATCATCTTTAATTGTATTAAATATCTGAAAATGTATCTCATTTCTTTTTGCTATTTGTAGTACTATAAAAACAGAGGCAGATGCAGAAAGTAAACATGGTATTTATTTACACTTTCTAGAATAATTCCATTGAAACGTATGGACTGTGTTTGCAGACAGATATGCGTCAGAGTTGATTCCCATTAAAAATTTTATATCAGATAGTGGGCACTAACTGTATTTTCCTACACTCCTAAGTTTTCTGCACCATTGTAATTTTATCCTCTGTGTTTGTTAAAAGAATACATTTAGGTAGTACTTTTCTCTGGCACTGCCTATGGTTCCTTACTACACCTCCAGTAATTAATATGGTAATTCAGAGTTACATAAACTACAAATTCCCATTACACTGTCCTAGTTAAACTCTTGTTTATTCAGAAGTATAATATTAGTTGAAAATGTTTTAAACAGTCACAAATTACTCTCATTTGCTCACTACCTCTCCTTTTTCCTCTGGACCTTCTTCAGGTCCAGAAGCTACTAGTGTCACCAGGGGTATTCATAATCTCTCTTGTGGCTGAGGAGGAAATTATTGCCCAAATTTTAGGGCATCTAATCACATAGTGAGAGGCATCCAATTGTTTGAGTGGTTGGCATGTATCTGTGTTCCCCATACTTCAAGTCTCCTTTTCTGCCTTGGTGACTTCATGAAAGGTCACATTCTTTCCTGATTTGGATAGAGAACATAGTATTTGATTAAAATAATGCATAAATATCCATGTCTGACTCACATTACATGGTTAATCTTGTGCTTTTTTTAGCTGAATTTAACGGTTATCTTCCGGGAGACACCTCAAGAAGAAGAGAAAGACTAAAATTTAATTTTGGTATGTTATACCTAAAGCTGAGTTAGGGAAATGGGTTTTCAAGATTCATCAGCGTATGATTAGATCCACTTGGGCAGTGTATTAGATATGCCAAAGAAAATGGCCAAATGGCTAAGTCAGGGAAGGGGAGGGGAGCGGGCAGCACAGCAAAATAAAACCCTCACCTATTTGTGACAGGAATACAGGCAACACAGCAACATATCTCCTCTGGCACCCAAAGTACTAACATGAAGAGAGGTCTGAAAGCTGAAACAAAACCACCGCAGTTGTTTCCTTAGTTATAACAAAAGGGGCTTGGGCTGGTGACAGCACAGGTGGAGTGAAAGAGACTAATTATCTGACAGGGAATAGGATCAGACCTATCCCAACAAATGACAGAGCAGAGAAGAAAAAAGGAAGTGAAATGAACACCAGCCTCACAATTAATCTAGATTGCAATGCTAGTTAAAGAGTAATTGCATATCAAACCCCTTACAAATTCTTACATCCATTGATTTTAAACCATCATCTCTCTCCAGAAAGAAAAGTAAAATCTCAGAATCCTTTCAGAGTTGCAAGCCTGGTAAGATTTACAGTTTACAGCTGCGAGGAGTAGGTCAGGATATAGGCTAGCCACTACAGGCCCAGCCATCTACTTGTATTGTAGGTTCTATTGCATGTTTAGCTAAATCTCTAGCCTTTGGGTAATCTTGTTTCAGTTTTTAAGTCTTATCTAGCTTACTGCTGGTATTTGTACCTCACACTCTCAGTTGTGCAACAATTCCGTCAGAAGTGCACTGACATGAATGTCATGTTAGAACATGTGTTCCTCCCAAATATTAATTAACAATTTTGCAGTGTTCTTGGATAGCAGTTCTGTTTTTTGGACAGTTTGTCTGAAGGGAGATTATGGTATTTTTAAGAAGTCAGCCTCTGCATTGTTAGGATCAGGTTTGAAAATCTGGTAAGAGAAAATTGCAGAGCATCACAAAAAATTTTTAGAAATCTCATGGAATTCTGAAGACAATATGAAACATGTGGATCATTTATGAAGAGAGGGGAAAGTGGAGGGGAGACTAATTTTTTCTTTTCACTATTGCAGGTTAGTTTCTACCATAGGGTTAGTTTCCACCATGCTAACAGGAATAAATAGGTTGGTATTGCTGAGAACTGAATCCTAGATACTTATCAAGACATGATGCATACAGGTTCCACTTTAGAAGTGTGATATTATTTTCCAGGTGAATAAAAAAAGCAGTTCTGGAATTAAAATTTTATGCAAAGCTAAAATTTTGGTATGTATTCATAAGGTAAATTCAAATATATGGGAGAGTTTTGAGTAGGTAGCAACATAATTTACTCTTAGAGCTTAAAAGGTATATAGACCTCATGCATGAGGCCCAAACGCTGCAGCCTGAAGATCAGATGGGCTCCAGCAGAGCTGTTTTCTTAAATATAGCTGCTGTTGCACAGAAAGTTACTAATCAAGGTATCATTTTCTGTCTCCTCCTTCTGGTCCTAAACACCCTGCAGTGAAAAGCAAGCCAGTAAGCTTTTGCTAACCACAATATTTCTTTTAGTTCCCTTTCCATCAAATTTGTCTCTTAAGATCACTTTCTCTAATAGACAGTCATTGTACTCAGCACACTCATACCATGTTCTGTACCATCTCCTAAAATGTATCCTTTACAAAAAAAAAAAATTGACATAAGTGCTCTAGAAGATTTTGAACATTTTAGGGAATTTAACAAATCTGACAAACAAAGGGAGTTATGATACTTGTACCTGATATTTTTTTTCCTCAGCTGTAACAAACAAGTGAAAAGAAGTTATCTTGACTGAAAGTCCTAACAGCTGTGATTGTTTGTGACAAAGCATGTATGAAATGGAATGGCTGAACTAATCATTTATGGCCTTATGTTCAGATAAATGATGGATTATACAAAAACTACTTTGAGCTTTCAAGTGAATTGCAACTAAGGATAGGAAAATATCATGCTCCAAATGGCATGCTGTTAGTATTCTCTGTTGCACCATCATCTGAAAGAACTACAGATTTTGGGCTGCCAGGTGTCATTCCATTTGTTCTTTGTTTGATAGCAAAACTGTCCAGGTATCCATTGTATTACAATGCTAGCTAGAACACTTGGTTGCTATTTGTGGTGTTTATCTCCTTTTATTGTAGTTGAGTAGCGTTTCTCTTATAGGCACAGAAAAGGGGTAATAACTGAAGACAACCTCACAGCAGGAAAGGGAGATCAGATTGGCAATGCATCAGTGTGTGGCATGATTGAAGATAAGGCAAAAAACAGGCTACAGCAAAAGGTAACTGGCATTATCTAAAGAAACTGGTTCTGAATTTGGGCAAGGTCAATATTTAGACGGTATTTCACTCTTTGAAGCAAAAGCTATAATTATGAGTTAGGGCCACAACAAAGAATGATTTCATCAAAAGCCTAATTTCAGCTAATTCACCTATTCGTTTCTTTACTTATAGATCATACAAGTTTGTCAGTTACTGATAGATTGTTGGCTAGTGGAATCTAACAATCAGTAGATGAAGTATAGGAACAGGAATAGAAAATAAGTCAGCATTCCTGAGCCGCCTGAGTTTTCTGAAAATTGAGAGAGATACAATGAATGAGAATACTGTGCCTCAGCATTTCTAGCTCAGAGGGACCCATGCAAATAGTAAAACATTACAGAAAACCACTGAACAGCTGTCCTTTTATGTTGGGGGGCTTCACCAGGGAGAAAAATGCACTAGTTGACTTGCTAAAAAAAAAAAAAAAAAGAGTTCTGTTGGCAGTCATCCTCCATTTAACCCTGCTTTGTCACCAGCACAGGCTGGCCAGACCCTTCGCTTGAAGCAGGCAGCACATAATGTACAAAGATGCAGCCTGATCTTGTTTATTGAGGAACCATGCATGCCCCCCCAATCTGAGTTCATAGGATATACGTTGCCTTTTCATCTTTTTCTTTATAAACTCCTGTTGGTTTTCATCTTTTCTCCTTTCTCCCGTCATTCTTGTTACCCTAGCCTAAAAGTCTACACATTCTTCCTTTCCTCCCAGCTACAAGGTACACTGAGCCCATGAGTTAGTCGCTACCACTTAATTTCCTCATGTTCCTTACTTGATGAACAACAATCAGAAATGGAAAGCATGGGGCAGGAATCAACATCTGTTTTCAAAGTGGGACTCTAGATCTGCAGTTACATTTCTGTCTTTATTGTTTTTCTCTTAGCTTTGTTATTATCAGCTTACCATAAGACAACTACAGTTTTTCTCAAATCAGGCTTTATTTCAGGTAAAAGATATTTCTTTACCCATGTGCTTCCTGAAAAGCACTTAAAAGGAAAAAAGGTTCAAAAATACTTTGCCTTTAAATACACTTTATGATGCTGTTCCATGTTC